GGGCAATTCTGTACCTCATGCCCCTATTTATTATGGTAACAATAGTGGTTTCCATCTTCATTCCTTTATGTATCTGAATGTTGTATGAGAAGCCCTGTCTTCACCATTTGGCTCCATACCCAAGCCAAAAGAGATTTTATTTCTGAAACACCAGTTTTAACTCTCATACCCTTCTCGGTAGTGACCGTGTTAATACTAGTCTCCTGATGATTAGGTAAGGGATTTTGTGCAACGTTTGGTGCTCCGGAGTTAAATTGGATCCAATTCTTGTTACGCATTCTTTGTACAATGCTCTTGAATGCAAGACAATTTTCAATCGTGTGCCTTGGCACACCACCATGGTATTCACAGTGAGCGTTCTCATCAACCATCTGGGGTAAGGGGGCTGCATTGGTTTCACAGGGTAAAGTGACACCACATGAGTGTCAAAAAGTAGTTAGTATAGTTCCTTGTATGACATAGGAATAAGATCGAATTGTTCATTCTCTCTTTCTTTCCTAGGTTCCCTCGGACTCTGTCTAGAAGTACCTGTCGATACAGTTGCAGTTGTTTTTGTGCCCGAGATCGTAACACCATTGTTGGCACTGTAGGTGTTGACATTGTTGATCTCTCTATCTTTGTTCTTCATGGGAGGTTTCTTTCTTGATTCTCCTCCCTCTATTTTGTCTTGTTTTATGGCCAACTCAATCATCTCTCCGACCATAAATAGATCTGAAAAACATCCTGACGAGATTGCAACCAGGTGCCCAATGTAAGGAGCCTTCAGGGTTTGTACAAAAAGCTTCTTGGTTTTATTTTTATCCAATAGTGGATGAACTTGCACAACCAAATCCTCTATCTCTGTGCGTACTGTAGGAAACTTTTTTTATGTTTCTTTTTCAGGCTTTGTAACATAACTCGGTCTGGTCTCATATCGTTAATGTACTTGTACTGTTCCAAGAAAGACTTGGTTAAATCTTTCCAGTCCTTTATATGAGATCGGTTCAGCTGATTATATTACCAGATAGCTGAATCGGACAAGCTCTCCTGGAAGCAATGAATCAGGACTTGATCATTTCCCACATATCCTGTCATCTTCTGACTGAACATAGTGATGTGGGCTGAGGGGCAATTATTTTCGTCGAATTTCTCAAACACAGAGACTTTGAATTTTGGTTGAAACACTAAATCTGGGACTACGCTTAGCTCCAATGCATCCACTCCATATTAGTCATGGTCTCGTTTGACCATTTTCATTTGGTCTTCTAGCAATTTAATTTTCTCTTCCATCATTTTCGCTTTGTCTTCCTCATTAAAATCCAGTATGTGGTAATCATCCGAATTATTGTCAGGGTTGGTTGTGGAAGTCTGTATCTTTACAGCAGATGAGGCTTTCCCTTTTACTATAGATAAGTCCCCTTGTAGTACATGTAAGATTCCGGGTGAGATAACCACTTGTGGGGCCGGTGGTATAATTACCCCCTCAGACGAACCTGCCTCTGGTGCACTCGCTTGTTGTAAACCATATAACTTGCCCTTAATTTGATCGACCAAGGATTCTTGGCTCTTTGTGATTGTGTCCAAGGTGCTCTGATTGTTCTGAGTTATCTTTTCTTCTAGCTCTCTTTGTAACCGCAACATGTTCTCCTCGAGTTGAGCGATTTTGGCCTTTATTTGTCTTTTCTTTGTTCGAGTGTTGTGCAGATGATGTGTGTCTAGAGCTTGTGGAGGTAAACTTGGCGTTTGTTATTTCTTCTGATGAGACATTTTCTGTTAGTTTATATGAATATAAAAACATGGAAAATAGAAAAAATAAACTTGGAAAAATAAAAATGCAAAGTATGAAATACATTATGTATGAGATTTAGAGGCATTGATCCAGAAATGTGTCTGTTATTATAAATAATCCTTATTTAAACAAACGTTTTTATCTTTTAAGAGACAAAAATATATCAAAGGTATATCCGGACTAAATCCTCTAGACCCCAAAAAGCTTCTAATAGGTTGACAAGTCTTCTTCCTTCATCTGTCACTGGTTGAATGCCTTGTCGAACCACTCTGGCTTCCCTTACTAAACCATACAAATAACGAGCTGCCTTCTGTACCTGCTCTAAGAAATCATGGATGACTTCATCTCTAGCCTTCACCCTTTACTGAGGTTGTTCCCAACGAAAATGCCACTGTAATCCTCCATCAAAGGGCACTATCTGAAGCTTGCTTGCTTGTTTCTTGAATTCATTCATAATGGCTTCTAACTCAGCTATGGTTTTGCTGTCTCATTCTTGCTCTTTCTGGAGAGACTTCTCTAAATCAGCTACCTAGATTCTCAAGCGCTTGTTCTGATGCTGGTTGTCTATCAAATGCCTCTGAGTAGTCTTTAGCTATTCTTTCAGAGTCTCTCTTTCATCATGCCCTTCAAACTTCCTTTTTAGGCTACTGACTTTGCCTTTCAGGTACTCAGAAGTCCTTTTCAGATTGAAGTTAATTTGGACTTGCTCTTGGTACTTTTTTCTCAAGTCCTCAAGCTCAAAACATACTTTCTTTTGTTCATTCTCTAGTTTGTCTGCTTGATCCTTCTGAGTATCGACATCTAACTTCCACTGGTATCTTTCGGCCTCAAACTCCCTTACCCTCTATTTTAGTTCTTTCTTCACAACATCAAATTTTTCCTTTACTATCTCTAGTTTGGAGGGAACACGCTTAAGATGTTCCTCCATAGTTCGGGTGTCCTTATGATCTGGAACTGGGATGTTGTTATTTTTCATTAATCTTCGCACTCAAAATAGTCCGGAGTAAGCATGTCCTTGGCAGCAACGACATCCATTCGGAACACCCTCTTCCATGACTCAACTACTTCTTTAACCCTTTTCTTGTAGTTATCACCATGGTATACAAATTCTGATCCAGTTAGTCCGTATGTTCTTGGAACAAACTGACATGCCTCATACTGTGGAAGTGCCAAAAGCTGAGAATACCCAACTCCTCCCCATAGTCCAAGTAGGGTCATAATGTCGAAATCCCCATATTAGAAGAAAATATCACTGTGGGTCAACCAAGGAGCTCTCCAGTCAATATCCCGGTCCTGAAGATGTGTGAATACTTTCATCCATTTTTCTTTTAAGGCACCTTCATGCCATTTCAGAGTGATGAATTATCCCAAAGGTGAATAAGTGGTGCTGAATCGGCGGTAGGCAATCCCTTTAGTCTTCCAGAAATGGTTGTTAACCTAGACTTGGAGAAGCTGAGCACACCCTATGAACCTTCCTCCGCCAGTCTTTCTGCAGTGGTTGAGAGAGCGAAAGGTCTCAACTAAGATTGTCGGTGCTGGATTTACTCGCCTCGGGAGTTGTTCAACCATAGCTGCATTAATGCACCCCAAAGTTTTTGGGAAGATAACCAAACCATAAAGGCCTAGTACAAAAAGATCTATTGCCTTTAATTCATCAGGGTGATTCTTCATTGGTTGCTTGATGTCAGTCCAAAGAATTCCTTCCTCGCTACCTCTGCGTTGAGTACGGTCAGTTACCTATTTCTCGTCTACTCCCGCAACTTTTGCCAACCCATTTTTAAAATGATGACTTTTGATGTGCTTGATGTAGAGCCGCTCCAATCTGATGCCCTCACAATGCAGCAATGTGGTATACTCTTCGATTGTGGGCACCATATCCTCCTGGTTAAAGGTGAAACCGTTGTACCCCAGATTCCAGAATTGAATCAAGGCTCTGATTAAGGGCTCATCTATCTTAACATAGAGTAGGAATATGATATCACCATACTGCTGGCTAAACTTCTTTTTCCGATCACCCTTCCAACTGTCCCAAATGCTCCGTTTCTCTTAGACATCATTCTGCTCTAGGCTAACAGAGGCGTAGCTAACCAGTTCTGACACATAGCTTCCTTGAAGAATGTCTCCCTTTTCTTTATGGGTCTTTTCGGACCATAGTCGTACCTCGGCATTTTTTTATCTTTTGCATTACAACCCATTTGTCCATTAATTCAGATTATTTTTGTATCACAAACACCTTTTTATGGATCAATGACCTCTTTTTATAATGCAGATGCTAAGAAGACAAACGGGAAAAGAAACAAGTTAGTAAGATAAAAATAAAAATAATGAATAGTAAAAAAAGTATAAAGAAAAGAAAAATGCATGGTTAAGATAAAAACATCCTAGGTTTTCAACTGGAGTTTTGGGGTAGACTCTAATTCCCTACAGTCTCCCAATTTAGGTTCTAAAGAAGGTACTCGAGTTCTCCTTGCCGGTGCACCCTTGGGCTTGCTAGACCCTTAGTCATAAATCTATTACAAACTCATGCGGACTAAGTTAAACTCGAGATGGTACATTCCCTTATGCCCATACGGAGAATAAATTCACACGAAGACATAAGGTATATGAATCCCGAAGGTTACTTGCTAGGCCCATACGGAGAATAAATTCTCACGAAAGTGTCGCTTTCACCCCACTTAAAAACGGGTTTAGAGCTCGGGTATAAAGCCTTAGATGGAAAAACAAGTTTGATAAGCTGAAATCATTGAAAGAAATCGTCAGTACAACTATTTATTTAAAAAGATAATCAAAAGTAAGTAATAAGGATCGAAAAAGTTACCTTAAAATTTAAACTTACACTTTTCATTTAAAAAGACAACTGGAAATTAACCTTTAGCATGACTAACTTACTTGTCCCCAACGGAGTCGCCAAGCTGTCGCGACCGTCTTTTGGATAGGCCCGGAATTGGGCTTCAACTTGAATAAAAGTTAGAGTCGCCACCGATCATTTAAAAACAAATAGGTTGACCGTATACCTCGATTTCTTACTTGATATGCATCTTACCAAAGATATGTTGGATTCAGGAGTCGGTTACAGTCAAAGAAGGGTTAGCACCCTTGAACTACCTCGATTTCAATGAAGGCAAATTCTCTGAGAAATATGAAAAATAGTACTTACATTCTGGTTGATAAACACCGGATTTTTAACCTCGGGATAAATTCTGACAACTCTTGGTGCATCCAGTGCAATTGAAATCTGAAACTTCCCTGTTGAAAATGCACAACAACTAAAATCAGCCCTGAAAATTAACAGCTCTTTCCTAGTTATAAAATTCTAGTGCCATAAAGTCCGTAACGCATAATGCCTGTCAAGGAAATCGGAAAATTTCTTAACATCATAACTTGATAATATGAAGTTGAGGAGATCTGAAATAGTGCATAGAGGAACTAACCATTATACTGCTGATCCCGGAATTCGTACCGCTGCTTCACCCGTAACTTCTTTAACTCTTCTAGAGAGAAATCAACTGCACATATATGAAGAAAAGTTTGAAACATACTACTAGGAAATATAGGCAAAAGAGTGCTAATCCGAAATTGTCAGAGAATTCAAGGTGTTAGACTAAACATGGTACCCATCTACTGGGATTTGGGCTAAAGTTGTACGGTTCCATACCAGGAAAAAAGCCTGTGGTGTTGACCCCTTGAACATCATAGGTCCTTTTACGATTCGCAAACTCTGTGATATGCTACATCGGTTGTTTCGTCGAGAGTGACATCATGGAAACATACAAGAACACCATCTTTTGATGATAGGATATCTGTTTCTATGAAGTCTGCACCCTCTTCAATAGCTCTCTGCAAGGAGGCGGTATATGGTCAATGTACATATAACATTGGCAACCATTTCACACTGCATCTGAATATTTTATTTTTATTTTATTTCATAGCATCTGAATATTTTGGGTACATACTACCCAAAAATCTGATTTTTATGAGAACAGTTTTATATTCGATTATCGGATTTTTTTATGTAAATTAGTAATTGAATTTAAATGAAGCCCATTGTATGATAATGAGGGTTAGTGGTACAATGGCATGCCATGAGGTGGAGTGAATCTATATTTGTTTCAGATCTGGCACCGAATGGTTCATCGTTCTCTGACTCGGCTTATGTTAGTGGTGCACGAGATGAAGTGATTCAGTGCAACTTTTTGACACTATACATATATGATGTGACACCAAAATGGATCACTCGTGCTCTAACTCGACATATCTTAGTGATACACGAGGTGGAGTGGCTTGATGCAATCTGTTCTAACAATGAATTTGTATATGGTGCGTTCACTCGTTATCTGACTCGCGTACTATATATTCTCATGAAAAATACAGTGGGAAAAGTGTCGCAACCGTCTTTCGGTTGGGCCCCAGAATTGGGCTTCGACTTAAAAAATGTGGATTGGAGTCGCCACCGATCATTTATTTAAGAATAAATAGGTTGATCGGATACCTTATTTCTTATCTGATCTGCGTCTTTCCAAAGATGTGTCGGGTTCGGGAGTCGGTTACAGTCAAGGAAGGATTAGCACCCTTGAACTGCCCTTTCGGTACTACGTAATTTCCAGTTGTCTTTGATTAAGAAAATTATAAGTTTAAATTAAAAGATAAAATAATGATCCAAAATTACTTACCTTTGACGGATTTACAAATATACCCTTTAAAAGTCAAAATATGGGTTAGAAGAGATGAATAAATGATAAATAAAGTAAAACAAATAAAATAAGGAGATTAAGAAAGAAATAAAGTAAATATAAAATGAATAGAATATATAAAATAAAAATACAATAACACTAATATATACATAGCAAACAATTAAATAAAAATAAAATGATAATGCAAATAAATAAATAAAACAAGTAAAAGAATATAAAAACATAAAATATAGGATAAAGATAAAAAGAAAATAGATAAATAAATGAGTAAAATATATAAAAAAGTAAAAGCATATATATATATATAAGTAAAATAATAATAATAAAAAAAGAAAATCAAAAGTAATATACGTATTTATACATGTAAAATAGAATATATATATATATATATATATATATATAATAACACTAAAAAAACATATATACATATATAATAAAATTAATAGAAAGTAACATGCATATATAACAAGAATAATAAAGTAGGAAAAAATGATTTAGGGGGTGAATTAAATATTTTAAAAAAATAAACACGCCTCGGGGTAGATCTAGGTTCGAAACTTCGAAACCCCACCCCTTTTTGGTTATATGCGCAACCCACGTTTTGGGTTATTCGAACCAAATCTCAAGAAAAATAACGTGCACATGCGAGAAATGAACGAACAAATGTAAAAAAGATGCTACTTTTTATTTCCTTTTCGAATCGTTTACAATAGCTTTGCCTTTGTATTTTCCGTGCTTTCCTCTGTGTTTTGTGTGTAAATCGTGTGTTACAATGGTGAGTTACAATGGCTATTTATAGTGCTTGTGGATCCTATCTTTAGGAATTTAAATCTTAGTAGAACTTTATCCTATTTTTAGGAGTTTGAATCCTAATAGGACGAAAATGTGTATTGACAGCTGCCCCTCTTTGCCCATAGTCGTGTAACAGGGATAGGGCAAAGATTAAAAGACACACTTTTCATTCAGTGGAGTTGAAAATAAACTCTGATGTTTCAATAACTCCCTGTCGAATTGAGTTACGGATGACTCCTCCATCGTGAAGTCGAGTTCATCTTGAAATGATATGAAATTGAAGCCGTAGTTCGGAATTTGAATCAGCATGTGGCTTCCCGTTACCCTTCGGTCTTCTTCTCGGTTTAAAGACCTTGGATCAGAATCAAACTCAGAAATCTTCATTGACAGATAGATTTTTCTTGACTTAAGCTATGTTGTTTGAAAATGGTTGCTTGTCACTAAGGCACGGCTAACCCAGGTCATCTTCTCGACTTGAAAACCTCGACTGCAACCGGAAAGTAGTGCGATTGATGTGTCATCGAGCTGAATGGAGTCGAACTTGACAATTTTGATGGCAGATAATCCTTCTTTGAGTTGGATATCCTTCGTCGTGAAGTTGAAATCCAAGTAAGTAGCATTGTTCCGAGTCCAATATCCTCCGTCGTGAAGTTGAAATTGGCTCTAGAACCGGGAAATTGTTTGTTGACAACCAACCGTCCCTTCATTGTGAAGTTGAACTTGTGTTGTCTCGAGTCCAATATCCTTCGCTGTGAAGTTGAAATTGACTCTGAATGAAATTTTGTTGACAAGCAGTGGTCCCTTCGTCGTGGAGTTGAACTTGCGTTGTCTGGAGTCCAATATCCTTCGTTGTGAAGTTGAAATTGGCTCTGAGATTGGGAAGTTGTTGTTGACAAGCAGCGGTCCCTTCGTCTTGAAGTTGAACCTGCGTTGTCTGGAGTCCAATATCCTTCGTTGTGAAGTTGAAATTGGCTCTGAGATTGAGAAGTTGTTGTTGACAAGCAGCGGTCCCTTCGTCGTGAAGTTGAACTTGCGTTGTCTGAAGTCCAATATCCTTCGTTGTGAAGTTGAAATTGGCTCTGAAATTGAGAAGTTGTTGTTGACGAGTAGCGGTCCCTTCGTCGTGAAGTTGAACTTGCGTTGTCTGGAGTCCAATATCCTTCGTTGTGAAGTTGAAATTGTCTCTGAAATTGAGAAGTTGTTTGTTGACAACCAGCCATCCCTTCGTTGTGAAGTTGAACTTGTGTTGTCTCGAGTGTCACGATATCCTCCGTCGTGGAGTTGAAATCGCGGATGTTTGGCTTCGAGCTAGACATCCTTCGTCGTGAAGTTGAAATCTATTCTCGAGCAAATTGTGTCGTTTCAAGAGAAACTATCTCAAGGGAGACAAAATTTGTTTGAAGGAAAATATATTCAAAGATTTCATTAAATTGTTTTCAAAGTTTATGTTTGGAGAGAAACTGTCTCAAGGGAGACAAAATTCGTTTCAAGGGAAACTATTTCAAGCGAGATAAAATTCATTTCAAGGGAAATGTTTTCAATGTTTATGTTTCAAGAGAAACTGTCTCAAGGGAGACAAAATTTTCTGTTTCGAGGGAAACTATCTCAAGAGAGAGAAAAAAATCATTTCAAGGGAAATGTTTTCAATGTTTATGTTTCAAGAGAAACTGTCTCAAGGGAGACAAAATTTTCTGTTTCGAGGGAAACTATCTCAGGAGATAAAAAATTAATTTCAAGGGAAATGTTTTCAAGAGAAACTGTCTCAAGGGAGACAAAATTTTCTGTTTCGAGGGAAACTGTCTCAAGCAAGATAAAATCTTCTTAAAAAAACAGCCTTGAGTGAAATGAAATGCCTTCTTTCGAGTGAAAATGGTCTCAAGCGAGACAAATCTTGTTTTAAGAAAAATAATCTTGAGTAAAATAAATCTTCTTTCGAGAAAAACAGTCTCAAGTAAGACAAAGTATGTTTTAAGAAAAACAAATTTTAGTGAGATAATCATCTGCATTAAATGAGACTGTCTTAAGTGAGACAAAGTTTATATTGGAAATGTTGAATCTGGAGATGAATGTCGATCTTTCAATCTGTCGAGTTGGCTTTTAATCTCATCTTCTCCTGAAAGATCTGTAAAATGTATATGGATGTAACTATCCTGATGATGTATGCTTGATGTATGCCCAAATGAAATTTATTTGCTGTTGAATTTACCCTCAAGGGAGGAAAAATCAAGGTTTTTATTGCTCATGATGATGAATTCAAAGATGCAAATTTCATGCGTCATGTATGTACGTGTTGATGTATATGTTGAGATGTGAGGGGAATGGCTGCATGTGCAGTCTTCATTCTGACTTAATTTGTCTTCATTTCCACCAGGGTGTACTCTTGCAGACCTCAAGACAATTTTTCTTTCCCTTATCAAATTTTGCCCCAAAGATGGTTTCCTTTGCCTCTGTTTCGATCTTGAGCTTCGGAGCGATATTTGTTGAATTCCAAGATATGCTTCCAGAGAACTTATCTTGTTTGAAAATGCTTTTCTTCTTTCGAATTTTCAAAATTTTGAAAATTATCAAAAAGAACTTTTGAAAAAGTTACCTCTTTCTAGGTTTCACAATTGAAGCAAATCATAAAACATGAGTTCATTGGATATCAAAAGAATCAAACACTCTTTTAATCTTTGATAGCTGCAAATCTTTGACAAATATCAAGATTGAAAAGTTGGTCTAGAGGTGGGTTTGTTTCATCGATTTGGTTATCGTGAAGATCATGGCATGCCCCTCTTTCTTGATTTGGTATTTTGATCAGAGGCGAACAAAATGACACAACTAGCATAATCAATGACTAGACCTTTCAGAACACTTCTGTTTCAGTTCTCTGAAATCTTCCATTTGTTCAAGTTTCGTAAGCTCTTCTAACAAAGGTAGTGCAGAAATATCGGTCTAAAAAATGAAATTCTTGAGTGCTCGTGTGAATTTGACTATAACAGGTGTTTCTCAACTCCCTTAGTCTATTATTACCAAAAATTTTGTTTTAGATGAATTTGATTTATTTTGCCATTGTCTGGCTAGCCAAATCCATAAAGTCGGGGCGTTCAACCAATTGCTTTAGAGGGACAGCTTATAATCACTTTTATCAGGTTTAACTGAAGGGTTCATCTCATCACAAAGTCTTTGACCTGACAAAAGCAGTGGAGCAAACACCGAATTTCCAAGTGTCCGAGCAATGTCATGATTTGAATGTAATCTATTCATAAAGCCAGGGCTTTCGAGTTTCCTCTATAACTAATTGCCTTAGTGGAATAGCTTAGCTTTAGGGGGACAAATCACTGAAGGGTTCGTCTCATCACAAAGTCTTTGGCCTGACAAAAGCAGTGGAGCAAACACCGAATTGCCAAGTGTCCGAGCAGTG